CACCACTCTATATGAATTCCCCATCTTCCGCTTGAATTTGCTTCGACATTCCAATCTTCATTTCGCTCTTTTATCCAAATGGGCCACCAAAACCGGCGCACGAAAGTGCATGGTTAATGGTTGTAACAACTGAACTGAATACCTCCAATGGGCCTAAGGCTAAAATTCACCTTTACTGTAGAATGCCCTGCTCGTCTATTCTAATTCCATTGGTCAACCACATCGCCACGTTCCACAACTCTGAGATCACGTTGCGTCTCTCGATCTCGTGTTGAGCGGAAACCGATGATCAGATAAACAATGATGGGGTGCTAGAGTTTACGGGTTTTGTCGGACACCAAAAGCTAGCTCGTAATCAGATCTCAGGTAGCCCAGCAGGATCTGTTCTATTTTCCCGAGTCACGCTAATGGCAGCCCACAACTATGTGATCGATTTAAACCAGCTTACCCCTTGGATTGAAACACAGACAGTTNGACAGTTCAACACGCTTTAAACCGCTTGGCAATAGAGGTATCCAGGTTTGGTGTGTGCTTTGCACCATCAAAGTGCAAATCGGCTTGTTTCACTTTCATTCAGACGATGATTGAATCTGTTCAAGCTTGAGTTTTGTAAGTACCGTTTTCTTTTCTTCTGGAAATACACTTCACTGCAAATACTCGGAACTTTAGAACAGTCACTCTATTGTACTGTGAAAGATCATGGAAGGCTAAAAAAACTGAAATGCATATCAATTTAATCGTTACATAATTTCCACTGGGTTTAAAGTATATTCGGTGATTCGGACACGAACTGGGAACCGGATTGGAAATTACTGTACGGTTATGAGAGAAGGGAGCGATCTTCCAGCGCACGAAGTTGATTTCGGGAAAAGGGATTCTTGTTCCAGACTTCTGTATAAAGTTTTCTTCTCGTTCTCTCTCTCTCCTGAGATCGAATGGTAAAAGCCATCGACCAGAAGTACTCAAATGAACTAAAAAAACATTAACTCCTCAGCACCCACAGATTGTGACGGAGGCGAATTCCTGTTGCTGGAACAGACCATACTGGCTTCACCCACAATATATCCACAAAAAAGTGTCCAGCAAGCATTCAAAGCTAAATCATCGCTTTCGAGGCTCTATCAATTACCTGTGGCCTAATCGATGGATGTTTTTGAAGAGAAACTTCTTTAAATCCAAACACTCCTGAGCCAAGTGTATTCGGCCATGTGCCATCCGAAATACAAGTGGTCGTTCAAAATGACATTGCATCTTTCATACACAGCTGAATCCTGGACCACTGGTGATTTCGGGGCCAGTTGCAAAGAATGTGAGCATTCAAAGATGCATGTTGAGTTCCCAATGCGAACAATCTCGAAAAGACAACAAGGAATATGAATGTTCAAAAGAAATCACATGTTTTCTGCTCAAAGCTGTATTGATTCTCCCCGGAATTATCGAATCATCAATCTTTCTTGATAGAGGCTTCAAAACGAGTGAGTTTCCTTTATATGAATTAAGTTTGAACTGGAAATCCATGGATTGTTAAAATGATCCAATTGCGATCGACTTCACAAAAATTCTATTTTAAAGTTCACCAGTTTTCAACCTACTACTGGTTTCGTGAAACGAGTAAGCTTTATCCTAAAAGTGAAACCATGAGATGAGGTCACAATGAATACAATAACTACTCCCACTGTTGGCTAAGAAACAATCACATACACCGCGTTGGTTCTAAAAAATTAACTAAACAATGGAGCAAGAACTACAAGTAAACAAACAACAACATCAGGTATCACCTAGTCTGTAGGGGTGATATTAAGAACTCCGAGTTGAACTCACTGGCTTGTGAAAGGATACTGCAAACAGTGGTGAATGACAATCATCTGGCTTATGTCCACTCATCGCAGAATTTCCTCTGGAAAGGTATGTTTATCCTGTTTGTAAACGTTTGGTTGATTCGTGCAACTTGATTACCCCAGAATAAAGCACGATTTTATCACCTAAGCTTTGAAGCTCAAACTGTCAAACTCGCATTTTTACAACGGGTTGCCCAAAAATGGATAACAGTGATGATGACACAGAACAATTGGAAAGGAGCGTTCAGAACACTCGGGCACTTGTAACTCAAGGAGACGGCAAACCGAAAGTTGAATCCATTAAGTGAGGTTGCATTGAGAAGGATTTGCTAGTGATCGTTCTTCCTCGGTATCGATTCACTTGAAATAGAACTGAACAAACTTTGCAAGGCATTGGTCGTTCTATAGTGAATAGTGTTATTATAAAGACTAGAATGGGCAAATCTAGTTTTCAAAACTCCGAAATCCCGATCTCAGCAGTAATCCATGTTACTAATCCCATGTGGACTGTCTTCTTGAATGCATACGCAGTTGATTTAGATTGAAGACAAAACAGCGGCCATGAGAGTGCCATACGCCACTCGTACTGATCGGGGAACATATCTCGTAAAATATTGATGGTCATCCAGTGAAACACTTTGCAGAAACACGTGATTTGGGCAGAATATTTGTAAAGGACTTATACCTCCTCTGAATAATTGTCAATAAAGTCCAAGGGTGCACAAAGTTACTATGAGAACAGCGAAAATGTGTTCTTTAGTCATTTAGTCTTCCACGTACTTCTCGGCTCGTTGGACCGATGCAAAAGCGAGGCCGAATTCATCGGTCTTCAGTTCTGAATACAACATCATGAATCCTTTGAACACTGACTCTGGTCTTCACATTCAACATTCATCATTGCGAGTTTTGTATTCCAGTTCCATCACAACATACCAATATTCTGAACAAGACTGTTTCCAAAAGGATATGGACGTAAAATTTTGTAGGATCCTTGCATCACGTGTTCTTGTCCGATTCGCTCCGATTCCCAAACAATCGGTATAGACCCACAAGAGTTTGCAAAAGATTGCCTATAATTGGCAGTTGTTTTATGATGAATGGTAGTGTAACCTTGACACATTTGCATCGGAATTTCACTCGTCCCATTTTTTATTCTTATAACTTTGAGAATGTTCAATACTTCAGGAGATTTTCATTAAAAGACAAAACACCGAACTCCGGGCGGCTGCTATGCGAAAAACTGTACGATTATAAACGAATCACAGTCAAGATTGAATCACAAGATTGAATTCATTGAAAACAAATGTACATGCTGTTCAAGTACCAAGTACAGGTACAAAGTTTTTGTACGTAAACAGACTTGCGACTCCAGTATAAACTGGAGGCATTTGAAATAATACTCAAGTGTACGATGGGCACATATTTTGGAGATACCCATCGGTGACTTACGCAATCGAGCTGACCGGCATCGAGGCACCATGTTCCAATCCCGAGCTCATTACGCTAGTTCTCGCACTGGTAGACACGGTTGAAACTGAATTGTTGGTTCCGCTGTTTGTAAGATATTGCATCAAATTACGCAGAATGCAATCTCGTTCCGACTGAGTCATCTGATCCGGATTTTCTGTACCGTTGATGCTCGATCGATGCAAACGTGGGTCTTGGCGAACCAAAATTGTCGAGCCCATTTGAGACCACATGGTGGAATTCACAGGATGTGAATGACCGGAATGGGGGTTCTAAAACGGTGGACATGGGTTGGACAATGATCAGGATATCACCTCAAGAAAACAGGACTTTTAGCAAGGGTAGGTGGAGACTGCGTAGCTCACCTCACGAGAGATTCGTAAACTGGACTCTTCCGTCAATAGATCTCTCTCGTTTGACTGAACAAAATCATCTGTTTTGCTAGTCTTGTTGAGCAACACAGCACGCGAGCGCTGTGTCATCCTAGTTCACTGATCCAGTGAGAAGTTTCCTTGACTTGTGCGTGAGCGCACATTTGAATTTTTCCGCATGCGCTGTTGATCGATCAATAGACAGTAGGGTGGGAACGATTGGATTGGTTGGCTATCTAACGCATATAATAACGGAAAGGTTGATTGGATGAAGATAGACAAATACAGCTGGTTTTAGCGCAAACATGTTTCAGTCTAGGAAACATTTGGAAAAAAGCAAAACAATGTGCCAAATCCGAAGCGAGATTGCAGTTTATGTAAAACCGAAAGGTGAAATTCCATGATAAATAAACTCAAAGAGAAAGGGGAATGAAAGTCCCAAAAAAGCAAAACTGAACAAAAAATCGAACTCTACGAAAGCGTTATCCGAAAACACTGTTGAACCTAACAAACAATAGACCTGTAGAAAACTATGTTTCGAAGGAAACATCAGTAGTCAAAGTTAAAACTTGGCTTGGTATTTTCATGGACGACAAACGATAAACAAAACGCAAATGAAACCTTGTCGAAATCTCATCGATTCAATAAAGCTTCACTACCAACGCCTACTCGACTCTTGTAGTTTGCCTTCACTTCCGCCACACAAGGAATCAGTTGTTCTCGATAGTTTACGGTATGAAAGTATTTTGTGTAAAATGTTTTTGGACGTTCCGATGAGTAAAAATTGCATGAAACTTCCAAGTGCAAGCAATACTGTAACCTTCATTTGATAATGAGTGATATCAAGGAAACGTCCAGGAACACCGAAAACACTGCACGGCAATTTATTTTCTGACAATAGCCTGCGATCGTTTGAATAACGAACCACCTAAGGAACGCTTAATGATAACTGATATGCTCCAAACGTTGCAATGAGTTACTCCACGTGACACCCAAATCATCGAGATACTTCGACTACGGCTATTTGTGGCGAAATTATCAAAGGATTACTGAATGGTAATTTTGATAAACGTGGATTGTAGCTGTGCCACGGCACAGCTGATTTTATGTTACGTGCTAACGTATGTTTGTGCTGAAGCACGAAGTTGATTAAACCAAGGTGTGTAGTAATGCACAAACAAAATTGTGGTAACTCGGAAAACAAATTTCATCATGCGTAGGTACTACAGTGCCAATGTGAATATACAAGTAGTTTGGAAAATGTCGGCACTTATTCTTACTATCGACCACCTTACACAAAAAGAACAGTGCATACACTAGACGGGAATGGATAAAACAGAGGAACAACCAAACCACGACGCGGTGTCCAGGGATGAAGAAAGTGCATTTTTATCCGGTAACTATGGGGGAAAACCGATTTCCACCTCGAGTCTCAAAGAGTAGGTCATCATTAAATGAAAACACCACGGGATATCTCACAGAGTCACCATTCATCGTCATTGTACGGCGTAATACAGGGAGGCGACCATCACCGATTGCTGTCAAACTGTAGTTAGCCTACTCTACGAGATAACGCAAACCACGGGGCGACAGGTTACAGTTTCCGCAGAGCTGTGAAGAGCCAAGCTTTCCATGTGACGCCAGCAAAGCGCTTACGCTTTATAGCTTATAGATTCCGAACCATATGTCGATTGTACCAACCAATCAGAATCCGTGCGGCCCAGACAGAAGCTGTACAGTGCCAGGAATACTAGCAAGCGATTGGCAGAGGTGGAAATTCTTCTATACATATTATTTAAACCCCATGATTCCTTTTAACAAATGAAATGTTATTCCTGTGGCCTTTTCCTTGCGTCATGGTTACATGGGATACTGTCGTGCTAGTCCCAGTGCTAACGCGGCGTGCGTGATTTCTGATATGTAATTCGTATTTCGTGGTCAGTGCGTACTTCAACTACTTCACAAAGTCATAATGCATACAAGGTAAGTGGTAAGTAAGCCGATTACACAGCCCAACGATGTATACGGACTATTGCAAGCATTCTGTTCTGATAGGAAATAACAAAAAGAACGCCACTGCTGTCGGTTCGCTGCCATCTCCTTCACCTTCCCCACTCATCGAGTTGCGGAATATCTTAGACCCAAACCTGGAAGATGAAAGACATCTGCTCCATCTAATCGCTCTAGGTATTTCTTCGTGCCTCGTCTTGTTCGATGCATTCCCAAAAACCCGACGAATTACTCCTTCACTTTTCCTCCGCTCACTCCATCATATTTGGGCCAAACTAAGCAAACACCGATTGTCGAATACCACTAGGCGACCGATATCTTCTGCCCACAAATTCAAGATCTCAACCGTAAAGCGGAACTGATCGTACAGTGGCACAGTACACATGATTTTCAACCTCAGTGAAACACCACGTCGTCGCCACATGTGTTTTAGTCCTGTATAAGCTGCTTGAGCCTTGGAAATACCAGCGGTTATCTCCTATGATGCCCTACCGTCGTTGGTCACACAGCTACCCAAGTACGAAAAGTAAGCAACTTCAGCTAATTCCTGACGGCCTAGTTTCAGAACAGAACTCGGCGTAACCCAGTCTTGCAGCATCATTTTGCACTTTGAAGGCGCAAAGCGCATGTCGAACGGAGTGACAGAACTTGTTAATCTGTCAAATGCTCTTTGTGCGTCCTTCATATATTCGAACAGGTAAACGATGTCGTCAGCGTACTCTAGATCGCACAGCTTTTCACCAGCTGCCCACTCAACAACAACAACATTTTAGAGACCACTTAGTGTGTTCTGCAGTATTTATTTTATGATGAAATTGAACAGGAATGACGAGAGTGTACATTTGACGAACACCGCTGCTAGTTTCCAATGTCCTTCTCCGCTCACCTTAGATTCTTACTCTACCAGAAGTAAGCGAGGAGAGTGAACTCGGTCTGTTCACATACTTCTGCGGCATTCCTTTGCGACGGAGTGAATCCATAAGGGATTTGCGGTCAACTGAGTCGAAGGCTCCTTTCAGATCAAGGAACACGACAACCGCTGGTCGATGGTTTCAATAACGTAGTTCGAGAACTTGAGGCAGCGTAAATGTCTGGTCGGCACAACTGCGCCCTCGCCGAAATCCTGTTTGTTGTTCGTGTATATTCGTCTCCCCAAAGGGTGTCAGGGCTCAAAGTATGAAGGAGGCNGAGGCTAGTACGATAGAGACAACTGAGATGAGTGATTCGCTCCAGGATGATGGAGTGTGTTCTTACACTCGAATGTTGGGTTGTAAGTAGTAATGGAATTTAGGTGGTCATCGCCTCCCATCTGAAAAGAGCAGGACGAAGCCTGTCAGGTTCTATTGTTTTTCCTGGCATCGGGGCTAAGGATGAAAGATCGTACTTCGGCTTCAGTAGGAGGTTCACATGGCACTACCATGGAATCCAACTACAACAGACGAGATAGTCTGGTTAGAGCCTGGACAGCTAAACTGTTCGTTGAAGTACACCGCCCACCGGTCGAGCTGTTGTTCTCTACTATGAATAGCGTTTCCACTTTTGTCGCAGATTATTTCACTAACTGTCGTTCGCCGATTGTAATAGTTGCAGTAATGGTGTTAGTAGTACGCACTGAATTCGGAATATGAACCACGCAATACGGATCACGGAATACGAAACAAGGATTAGCAATCACCGACTGGATCACGTAAGCACTGGACCGCACTGGCACTTGCACGCAATATCCCACGTAACCGAGACGCGAGTTCTCGCGGGTTCTCATTGGCTGGTACGATCGACCTGTGGCATGTAGTCCGGAAACTGTGGCACATACGCGCTTTGCCGACGTCACTCGTGAAGCTTGCTTGATTACAGTTGTCCTAAAAATGTAACGCGTCGCTCCAGGGTATGCGTCATCTCGGGGGCTGCGATCACCACACCGTGTTGCGTATTAGTCGGAACAGGCTTTGACTATTCCCTGATGCGGCAGCCACTTCTTTTTCACTCGCTGTTGTTGCCCACCATTTTTCGCGGTCTTTCTTGAGCGTCGCAGAGACTCAAAGACGGAACCATTTTCGTATTCGTGTAGGGAAATACACAGAGGTGACGTGTGCACAAACGTCATGACGTCAAAATAGTACAAAAAAGGAAATCTCATTTAGCAAATTAAAGGAAATGCTTCAACCTCACCTGAACATGATGATTCATTGTTCTTAAAAACCCGTGGGGACTTTAGCGCCGACTTACGGGTTGGATGAAACATTTCGTGGGTTCATTGTACGCAGTTTCGTGTTTTTCGGATGTTATGATTGGAATAAAACACGCGTTTGTGATCGGGTACAAAAGCCGATAGAATAAACATCTATAGACATAGGCTCCTGGTCACAACCTCACGTCCCACAAAACTCAGTCAGGTTACCCAATTAATTTACTATTGATTGATGTTTGCTCGGCGCTATGCGCACCTGATCACTGAACGTATACTTGCATTGGCTGCTTTCTGATTCGCCCGTTCTAGAATCTTTGGATTTTAATCGAACCGGAGGCAAAGGAGGTGAATCTCTATGGTCAACAGAGAGTATATTCTCTAATTGTGCATGTGTACCTTTTCAAGCATTCTGACTTCATAAGAAACAACAAGAAGGCCAGTGCTGTTGGTTTGGTGTCATACTCTTTAATATATCTAACTGTCAACCGACAATCTTTTGGACCCAACCCGGAGACACCCACTTCACTTCATCGCTCTGCGCATTTCTTTATGCAGCGTTTCCCCGTGATTTCCCTCAAGAGCCTAGCTTCATTTTTGGCTTCGGTTGGTGCAGCCCACCTTCCAGATTAGAGCTCAAGGGATGAGGACAGTCGTTGGTCATAGACGCTAAGAGATATGGCCCAGGATAGAAACAAGCGGCATGATTGCTGTCGAAATTCCTTATGTCACAAAGGAAAACAATAAAGTAACACGAAAAATCTCAAAGGTTTACAGTGAGACCAACCAAAAAGTGTTATTCTTGTTACCCAAGCAACTGTTTGCCCGCCATCCCAACCCTCTTAGTCCTCTGTTATTCTTGTCGTTGCGGTGACAAGGCAGTTATATATATATATAGTACTGGCCGATTGTGATGCACTAAAATATTTTTTTATGATCAAAGGGAGTTTCATTATATTTATCACTCATATTATTGCTTTAGGTATGGACAATAATTTATATCTTGTCTACTTCGATGTACGTAGTTTCTGGGTTGCATGATTGTCAATTAAACGTGCCTGACCTTGAGTGTCAAGATTAAATGATCTGAACATAAAAACCACAAACGTTAAGTATGACAACGCAATACTTTCTAATAAGAATGACTCAAGAATTATCCCAAATTATTTCCGTCAACCCTTGCCGTTTCCCTTATTTTTAATGAGGCATTATTTTATCTAACGTATAATCCATTATAGCAGCGCTATTGGATAACCAAATGAAATTCCTTCACAACCCAGAGAAATGGCATTAAATAAGGTTTCATAACAATAATCTATGTTTCATATCTAACTCAATCAATTCGAGAAATACCACCTCAATCAAAGTCAACCTTGAAATCAAGGTCATTTTTTGTGCACAGCTTTGAATGTTCGAATTGTTGTCACCATAATGAAGCAAGCAGCGCTTGAAACCAAAAGTTCCCGTCATCTCAGTGACAAGGACAGAAACAGAATTGCACGAGCACACAAGCTGGGGTTTTCCATATCACATCTTGCCCAATGCTTTAACATTAACAAAAGCAAAATTGACAGGATAATGCATGGGAAAAA